ACAGTCCAGCATTGTTAACACAAGGGTCTATGCTGCTGCTGCTGTTGCTGTCATGGTTGTCTCTGACATTGTAGGACACAGTTGGGGCCATAAAGCTAAGGGTGTGTGAAGTGGAGTGACCAGATAGAGGACTGAGGATAGAGGGCTGATGGGAGGGGCCGATGACAACATTGGGCAGATGCTGGAGCCTCAGGTGTAGACTAAGTCTCCATTGTCTGGGCTCCTATAAGGAGCACTTCCCACAGGCCCCATTACCTGGCTGGGAGTTCCATTGCACCTCAGGGCTCCATCTGCTGGGCCTTCCAGACAAACTTGACCCTGGGGATAGCCGAGTACGCACACGGGCCACATAAATATTGCTGGGTAGAAACAGCTTTGGTGGCAGCGAGACCCACAAGTCACTGGTGTTGAGTCTGGGAGCATCCTGTGGAGAGTGGAGCTGAAGAAGTAGCCTTCTGGGTCATCCCACCAGGCTGGGCACAGGTGACTCAGGGACCTACCTCCCAGGTGTCCTGAAGCCTCTTGTAAGCCACCTCAAACTCTACGTCCTCCTGTGACAGCCAGGGGACCTGGGCATCTTCAAGGGTCCAGTTCCACTTCAGCAGGAAGTGATCTCCAGAGGGGCTGATGCTGATGTCCTTGGGAGGTGGGGGCTGCACTGCAGGGGAGGAAGCAGAGGGTTTCTAGGGTTGCATGCTGGGCACCTGAGGGCAGCCTGGCCTTCTGGGTACCACTTGGTCCCAGGTTCAGTGCTGACACCATCAGCTGATGATCACAAGAAAGCTTCAGGACCCTTACTCTGCAATTCAGGCCTGGAACCTGAAAACTTGGGGACCAGATTTGACAGTAATTGTGCCTTCCAGGGCCTGAACATTCAATTAAATGGGGCCTCCTTCTGCTCTGCTGTGTAGTGGGGCCCTCATTCCAGCAGAGGGCGCTGAGAGCCATCACTGCTCCCTCTCTGATTACCCACCCTCTCCACAGCTCAGGGGCCTCCTGAATGACAACTGTGGTCATTCATTGCCCAGTGTAAGTGTCATCTCCCCTGGTGACTTTCTTGGACTCCTGTCCCCAGACAGAACCCCGTGTCCCTCTCTTGTCTCACCAAAGTTCAGTATAACTCCTATCCCTGCCTTTTCACACCAGGGTCAGTTAGCTTTTTCCCATCACATTCCCTGTTTCAGGCCTTGAGATGCGGCTGCCTGTCTCTCATGTTCTCCCTGTCATTGTCCAGCCTTTAGAACTTGAAGTTTCTTGTAGACAATGAACGTGACCAAGTTTTCCAGCATGCCACACTCTCTCCAGACCTGCCCCCCCCCACTGTCAATCAGCCGTTGCACGTGGGCTTTCCTAAGAATTGCTTCTGAGTTTGTGTTCCACCTAACCCAAGTACTCAGTGGCGCTGTTCCTCTATTCCTCCTGGGAAGCCCTTCCTGATTGCCCGGGCCCTTTGTCTTCATCCCCTGCATATGGCAACTGACTTCTGTCAGCTTCCTAACCCCCTCAGTTGATGCTCTGACCTCCCAGGAGGATGGACTCTTTCAGACAGCAAAGGCACTCACTTGACAACAGATATCAACCTAGCAATGCTTGAGGGCAAAAAGACCTACAGTGTCCCCCAAGACCCCAACTTCTCAGGTTTAGAATAACCATACAAACCTCAGTTTCTCCTTTAGTCTGAGATGCTGGTGACATGTCTGCTATAGTCCCCAAGAAAACCTCACAGCTGAACATTGGCTCCACCTAAGACCATGCTGCAGCATGGGTCCTGTGGACCTGATGCACACTCTTGGGTCCTGTGGACCCGATGCACACTCTTGGGTCCCAAGAGGGTAGTGAGGAGCCTGGCTCTGTATCAGATGCATGGAAAGTGTATGGCAGTGTGACCATCCCTGGTGCCCAGCCCTGGCACTTTGGGACTTCTGTGGGTCTGGGAGCCTCATTCATAGGGCAAGGTGTTGCAGCCATGAGGCAAGACAAGGGACACCAGAGTCCTGTCACCTGAAAGTCCTACGGGAGTCACAGTCATTGCCCCTACAGAGGAGAGTTTGAGGCTTGGTAAGTGACTGAAGCAGTCGGGACAGGGGGACCTCAGGCAGATTGGTCATATCCCATCTGTTCTAACCCCAGGTCAGGGTTCCTCAACCTGGGAGACACTCACTCCAACCCTCCTCCAGTAGCCTGCCCACTCTTGCACCCCCTACCGAGGCAGGACCCCCGCTGCTCACCATGCTGGGCCAATGGAATGATGAGCTGGATGCCCACATCCCGATCTGGTTGGAAAGAGTAGTAGTCCTCATATGCAACACTGAAGCTTGTGTTGGCGATTTCACATTTTCTGGGCACACATCGGTGGGCAGACGGGCACTCTGACCAGCGTAGGTCTTCACTGAGGCTGCAGGACACTGGATAGACCCTGTCACTGAACATTTATTAGCTCTAATTATGCCTGTGTTTATCCAAGGTAAGTGTCTGGTAGTGAACAACACACACACACACATACACACGCACACACACACACAGAGACAGAGAGACAGAGACACACAGAGAGACAGAGACAGAGACAGAAAGACACACAGAGAGAGACAGAGAGACACACAAAGACAGAGAGAGAGAGAGAGAGAGAGAGAGAATGGCACAAACATACACACACAAAACACACAAAAACCTTACAGATTTGTAATATCTCTCTGGATGTGCAGCACCCAGGACAACCAATGACCCAATCACCTTTACATCATGCGTCTAAATCTCAGATCACGCTGAAACTCATGACCACTTACTTACTGTCCCAAAGCCCACCGGAGACCAAAATGACCCTCTCATTTATGTTCTTATAGAAAGAAGTCCTACACTTGTGATGCCAAAGCAGGGAAGTATTTGACAACTCCCTCTCTGGAATCTTTAGTTTGAACAATTGTCAGTCAGTTCTTCCCAGACCTAACGAATTGTCCCTGAGTATTGACTTTCATGCTGCAAGTTAAACACTCTTGAGTCCTGCCACAAGGAATGTAGGTTCACTTGTGTGCTTGTTAATAGCATGCATGTAAGAACTTATGAGTGAGCAAAGTGGGGACTTGCTTTGGTGCAGGATTCGAAGAATTTTACTGAGTAAGGGAAAGACTTAGGATGGACAGACAGGGTGACAGGATAAGGGCATGGCACATCCTGGTGATTGTAAGTAGTTTGGATGGTAGTGGTGTCTGAGCTGGTCAGACAAACTCAATGGTGTTTGCTAAGAAGCAGGAAAGGAGCTAGAAGACATTTTAAGCAAAACCTCTCAGTCAGTGGTCATGCTACCATTTCCTCCCAGTAACGGAGGTGAGGTGTGGAGATGAAGACAAGAGAAGAATTGGGCTTTTAGTGTTGGACTACAAATGGCCATCAGCATCTGGGAGTCTGCCCATAGCCTATGGCTTTCTGAAGACTGCATATAGATAAGCCAGGGCCACATTTAGAGATCTCACACTCTACAGTGGACAGAGGAGAAAAGGGAAGCAAAGAGACCAGAAGGAGTTGTTAAAGATACCAAGGGACCCTGGTGAAGGTGGCGACTGGGAGTCAATTGGTGGTGAACGACAAGGAGGTCATCCTGGGAGGGTTGGGGGTCGAGGGCCCAGGCTTGGTCATTTGACTTGGGATATTTCTGAGTGATGGGAACAATTTGGATTCCTTGGAGACAGCCACATCCTAGGGGAGTGCATTCAGACAAGAAATATGGGAAAGGCATGAGGGACTGTGCCCCTTAGAGGGGGCTGTGGTAGGAGCAGGGGAGAGAGGGGGGACAGGATACTCAGGGCACTTCAGGTGTTGGGTGGCACATATATAAGGTGACCGGGGATGGTGGCAGCACATCATTGGTGATGCAGGGGCAGGAGAGCTGTTGGTGGCAGCAGGGTCCTTGGGCTTCAATACCAATGGACCCAGTGGTACTCACTTTTCCATCTTGTGATAGAGGGTCATGTTAATGAGGTCCTGGGCATCTTCCAGGTCAGCCCAGCTGCAGATGATGCGGCTGGTGTAGTCATTGTAGCACCTTAGAGTCTGCAGAGGGATGGTGTCTGACAGGGAGAAGCAGGAGAGTCACAGTCTCGCCTCCAGGTATCCCCTGCCCCACAACTCTGGGGTTTTTGTTTGTTTGTTTGTTTGTTTACTTTTTTGTTTTGTTTTTATTTTGGGGGCAGGGTCTTTCTGTGTAAGCTGGATGGTCCTGAAACTTGCTATGTAGACCAGGCTGGCCTCGAACTCACAGAGATCCTCCTTCCTGTGTCTCCTGAGTGCTGGGTTAAAGTCATGCACCATGAGGCCCTGAATCCCACAACTCTTTTAAGCACCAGCACCTCCAGCTTCCTGCTGAGGCCCACTCAGGGGAGCAGATAGATGGAGGGCCCTGAGCCTGGTGGGCTGTGTTGGGGGCATTCCTCTTCTCCAGGAACATGAGATGCCAGTGGATTCTCAGCTGGGTCTGCATGTCCTGTGCTGCACAGGCCTCATTAAGAGCATTGCCCAGGTCGGCTCTGTTCTCCGTGGTGTCACTTGGCAGGACAGACACAGCAGGGCCTGAGATGTAGCTGTCACCTCCCTATCCAGGGTCCTAATCATCTGAGACTTGACCTCTGAACCTGGGCTTGGTAAAGGGAATGTGATTTCCACATTGTCACAGAGGAGGTTGAAGGGGCATTGAGGACAGTCTTCCAGTCTCGGAAGCCTCTAGACTATCCCACAGGGCCTCCGAGTAGAGATGAGGGCTAGATGTACTGTGGGGAGAGGGCCTTAGGCCAAGCCCCCAGAAGGAAGGGTTAGGGGGGACCCTGAGGTCCTCAGAGGAGTGGAGTGTCTGAGGAGGGGCAGAGAGGATGCTGGCTCACTGGAGGCTGGGCTTTGGGGGCTACATTGAGCAATATGGGTGCAGAGGGACACCATTGGGCTGGATGCCCCAGGGCCAGGCAAGAATGAGCAGAAAGATGAAGAACAGGCAAGAGAGGGGCCCAGGGAAGTCCTGAGGGAGGAAAAAGGAGGGTGCGGGAGAGAAAGGAAGACAGAGCTGTATACAGTGGATGGAGCTGCTGGGGGTCTGGGGGCCGCTGGGTATATGGTGGGTGTGGTTCCTAGCAGACTCAACTAAAAAGAGGGATGAAAAGGGAAGGGGCCTTCAGACTCACCTTGTGCCTCTGTCACACCAGGTTTCCAGCAGAGAGCCAGCAGGGCCATG